AAACCTTTTGATATTTTTGACCAATTTCCCCAAAACAAATTCGAAACACAGTCTTTTAGACCTTGAGTTAACTTTGAGTTTTTCCAGAGGGTCTCTGGAATATCTCAAAGGATTTGGTCTACTTCTTATAAAAATGGAGATGTTGGGGTGCCTGGGTGGCTCAGTCAGGTAAGCGTCTGACTTCACCTCAGGTCGTGATCTCATGTTTTGTGGGTTTGAACCCTCCATTGGGCTCTGTGCTGACAGCTCAGAGCCTGGAGTCTGCTTCAGATTCCGTGTTTCCCTCTCTCCCTGCTCCTCTCCGGCTCATGTTCTATCTCTCTCAAAAATAAATAAACATTAAAAAAAGAAAAAATTTTTTAATTAAAAAAATCCCTAATTCCAGTCATTATCTTAAAAAGTTGTATGTTATAGAAATAACCATGTTTTCTTATCAATTCCATTGTAATAAGCTCTCATCAGGTCTCTAATAATGAACATTTCTAGGGGCACCTGGCTGGCTCAGTCAGAAAAGCATCCAACTCTTGATCTCAGGGCCATAAGTTCGAGCCCCATGTTGGGTGTAGAGATTACTTAAATAAAACTATAAAACATTATTTTAAAAATAATGGACATTTCACGGGGCACCTCGGTGGCTCAGTCGGTTGAGCGTCCGACTTCGGCTCAGGTCATGATCTCACAGTTTGTGGGTTTGAGCCCCGCATCGGGCTCTGTGCTGACAGCTCAGAGACTGGAGCCTGTTTCGGATTCTGTCTCCTTTTCTCTCTGCCCCTCCCCCACTCATGCTGTGTTTCTGTCTCAATAATAATAAACATTAAAAAAAATAATGGACATTTCTAAGACTTTGGTCATTTCCAATTATTGTCTTACACTGATGCTTTTAGCAAAAGTATAGCTACAAACATGATTTATCTTCAAAGAGACTCATGGAAAAAGCTCCAGCAAAGTGCAGATTTCTGCCCCTCCCTCACTCATGCTCTTTGCCTTGAAAACAAAACAAAACCAAATAAAATAAAATAAAATAAAATAAAATAAAATAAAATAAAATAAAATTATTGCTGGCTCTTTAACTTTTGCTTTCTAGAAAAGAAGACACCTTTCCTCTTAAGCTATCTATGTTTTATAGCAATTTAGTACAATGTGCTTTTGTGAACAGATGAAACTTTTGTCTCTCTCTCCCTACCCGATTCTTCCAGAATTCGGAAACTCTTGGAGTCCACTTTTGCCTAACAATATAATCAGTTATTTCATAAGTTCAATGAAAATCTGTTCTCCTTGAAGCAGAAACAATTTGAAATACTGGCTATATTACCAAGACTTTAATTGGATTGTCATATTTAAGAGAGATGTGTGTAGGGGCGGCTGGGTGGCTCAGTTAGTTAAACGTCTGACACAACCAGACACAACCAGATAGCTTTAAGGGAGTAAAATGGAATTCTATGGAGTGAATAGAGTCCTAGCCTCAGAGGCTTTTAAAGGTTCAATATGAGGAGTGCCAGAGTGGCTCGGTCAGTTGGATGTCCCACCCTTGATTTCTGCCCAGGTTATGAGACCTAATCTAGGTCATGACCTAATCTAATTAGGTCATGACCTAATCTAATGGTCATGAGATTGACCCCTGTGTTGGGCTTCGTGCTGGGTGTGGAGCCTGCTTGAAATTTTCTCTTTCTCCTTCTGCCCCTCCCACAATATGAGATCCCTTTAAATAATTTCAGCAAGGCAGTCTTACACGAGTTTATATAATCACTATTCTTGCTACACTTAACGTAAGTAATCAGGCCAAGCAGAATGCAAACAAATCCGTCTGACTGTGATTATCTTTGGAAAAAAATAATGGGGGTGTGTGTGCCTGGGTGGCTCAGTCGGTTAAGCATTCGACTTCGGTTTAGGTCATGATCTCGCGGTTTGTGGGTTTGAGCCCCGCATCGGGCTCTGTGCTGACAGCTAGCTCAAAGCCTGGAGCCTGTTTCAGATTCTGTATCTCCCCCTTTCTCTGACCCTCCCCTGCTCACACTGTCTCTCTCTCAGAAATAAATAAAACATTAGAAAAAATAATGGGGATAATTACAGAGAGAAAGATTACATTTGCACCTTCGTCATTATTAGATTCTAGTCCTATTTACTGTCTCTGAGGTTTTGTGACAGATAGGTAAATTAAACTGGATCCCAGATTCTTCTGGTTTCCTCAAATATCTGGCTATGACTCTCCAAAATAACATTTCCCATTTTATCCCACCCTTCTGATTTGGGATCGCGAGGAACAAAGACTGCCCTTGAACCTCTTTGAACAAGACTATGCCAGGCCCTCCTCACTGCTTGGATGGTAGCAGACCCCAGGAACCAGAAGCTTGGGTACAGATCTCACAGCTAAAGAAGCCTCCACCTGACAGCTGGTCTTTTTTTCCCACCCCTTAAGTTTATTAACTGATTTTGAGAGGAGAGAGCGAGAGAGCAGGGTAAGGGTAGGGGCAAAGAGAGGGGAGAGGGAGAATCCCAAGCAGACTCCTTAGCGCAGAGCCCCAGGCAGGGCTCAAACTCACAAACCGAGAGATTATGACCTGGGCTGAAATCAAGAGTTGGACGCTTAACCGACTGAGCCACCCAAGCGCCCTCTGACAGCTGGTCTTAAACAATCACTGGAGACCCTCTGCATCAAATGACTGGGAAGAGAAACAGCTAACATCAAGGTAGACTGCTCCCACCCAAGATAATTTGAACGTGAAACTCCTTCTTCTTCCCATTCATTGCTTAACTCTGACATTAGCCTGGAAAGGTAACACCATCATCGGTATCTCCCAGGCCATTGCTCAGGGGTATAATCTCTGGAATTTAGAACAGTTTTTCATTTGGGGCTAGGAGAAAACCTGGCCTACCTGAGCCCTGGTCTTTTGATCTCCTTAGCTGGTTACCTTCAGGTTTCAGCTCTTGATCTAGGACTACAGTGCAAATTGGGTTTATTAACCCACTCCTCGTTTGTTTTGTACAATCATTTTTTAGCCTTGTACCTGCTACCCATGAAACCCTTTGTAGAAATGGGCGATGCTGGCTCAAAGCTTCAAGATAATCTCTAGCGATTACAACCTTGATAAGATATAGACTTTAGAGGGTGAACACCCAAAAGTTATTTCTCTTACCCTTCCTTGTTTCTCACACGGTGGTCTTCAACGATTTCCATTTGTGAGGCACTTTCCCTTTGACATTTGATGTGACACTCAGGAAAGGTGTCTTTCTGGCATCCAGGGACAAAACCACTAAATATGGAAAGACTGACTCCTGAACAATGATGATTTCGAGGAAAGATCTTGACCCAAAGGGGGGAATGTGAAAATGAATAAAGAACATCTCATTCAAAAATGGAGCAGGGACTGAGACATCTGGCTGTCTTGCTCAGTAGAGCATGTGACTCTTCAATTCAGGGTTGTAAGTTCAAACCCCATTTGGGCGTGGAGCCTATTTATTAACAACAAAAAAAGGAGGGGCGCCTGGGTGGCTCAGTCGGTTGGGCGTCTGATTTCAGCTCAGGTCATGACCTCACAGTTCTTGAGTTCCAGCCCCCCATCAGGTTCTGTGTTGACAGCTCCGAGCCTGGAGTCTGCTTCTGATTCTGTGTCTCCCTCTCTCCTGCTCACACTCTCTCTCTCTCTCCTTCAAAAATAAATAAACATTACAAAAAAATAATAATAATAAAATTAAAAAACGAGCAAGTAACCAAAAAAGAAGAGGGCTCAGGCATCACCCCTTCACACAACCCAGCAGGAAGAAGGGAAATTTCCAATCTGCCCAGCAACTTCAAGCTTCCCTCTACTGCAGACAATGAGAAGCCACAGCCAATGAGAAGCCACAGCCACTTCTAGTTCTCCTTTTCCTCCAATGAGCTTTTTTGTTTCAAACAACCCTTAGAACTGCCTCCTTTACTCTTTAGAAGGTTGAACTCCTTCTTTGTTTTCCAGACTTGCCCGTGGTTCTCCGTAGTTTGCAATTTCTCTACTATTTTAGAATCAACTCAATTGATGCTCCATAAACTTTGTGGTTTAGATTTTTAAAATTTTTATTTTCAGAGAGAGAGAGCTGCATGAAACCGGGGGCGGGGGGAGGGTGGTAGGGGGGAAGGCAGAGGAGAGAGAGAGAATTTTTTTTAAATGTTCTACTTTATTTTTGAGAGAGAGTGCAAGCAAGGGAGGGACAGAGGGAGAGAAGGGGACAGTAGATCCGAAGTGGGCTCTGCCGACAGCACAGAGCCTGATACAGGGCTTGAACTCTCGAACCACAGGGTCATTACCTGAACCAGAGTTTGATGCTCAACTGACTGAGCCGCCCAGGTGATGAGAGAGAGAGAGAGAGAGAATCTTAAAGTCTTTTTTTTTTTCTTAATATTTTTTATTTATTTCTAGGAGAGAGAGAGAGAGAGACAGCTGAGCAGGGGAGGGTCAGAGAGAGAGGGAGAGAATCTTAAAGTCTTAAGCAGGCTCTACACTGAGCCCCTGACATAGTTCTCAATCATGTGACCCTAGGGTCATGACCTGAGTCCAAACTAAGAGTTGGACACCACCCAGGCGCCTCTGTTGTTTAATTTCTAAGGTTGACAGTAGATAGACAATATTTATGTTTATTGACTGACACCTTATGAGCAAACACTGCCAAACATGGAGGCATTTCATTTACGCAGCACCAACAGGCCATGGGGGGTTGCACGGAACTTCATTTTCCAAATAACATAAACTTACCTCTCTAAATAACGTGAAAACACTTAATAGGCATTTTGCCAAAACATATTAAACTTCCCCTCGGTTTCTCTCTCTCTCTTTCTTTCTTTCGTCCTTTCTTTCTTTGCACAGAAACATAAGGAAGAATTCCATACCAGTGTAGTGTCGGTGCAGGGGATGGGGGGACCTGCCAGGCAATCAGCCAAAAATACTGACTCTGTTTCTTTTCTTCGAAGAAGACTCAGGTTTTACTGAATAAGAATGTTTAGGAGTACATCAAATCTTAATGCAGCCATCTTTATTAAAACCTCTCCTCCTCCTTCTCAGGCCCACGAAGACAATCTCCAGGCTCCACCAAGGACCCCAATCTCAAGAGCGGGGTCCAGGCATCGTGGGGCTCAAGATTCAACAGGTCACTGTTGCTCCTGTGCTCTGAGTAAAGAAATGTATCTTTGCACCCATTTTTCCTTTGGGTGCGCACAGACTTTATGGCCTTTTTTGGTGGTGAATCTGTAGAAAAGAGAAGCTGACGTTCAATACTGAGAACTATTCCCTCCCAAAGCTATGGAACGGGAGGGTCAGCCACTTGACTTTCTTTGGCCCTGCTGCACGTGTTACACTGTTTCTGCTCTCTCTTCTGGTCCTTCTCTCCCCTCGGCCTTGTTTTCTACTGGAGACATGGCCTCCAGGCCCACCTTCCCCAGGAAATCATTCCCAACAGCCCTAGTCCGAAGCATGTAACCTGTACCGGACCTCTTAATTCTTCTGTTTTTTTTTTTTTTTTAATGTTTTTATTTATTTCTAGGAGAGAGAGAGAGACAGCGTGAGCAGGGGAGGGTCAGAGAGAGAGGGAGTCACAGACTGAAACAGGTTCCAGGCTCTGAGCTGGCAGTCAGCACAGAGCCCGACGCGGGCCTCGAACCCACGAACAGCGAGATCACGACCCAAGCGAAAGTCGGACGCTTAACCGACTAAGCCACCCAGGCACCCCTTAATTCTTCTGTTTTAATGGAAGTTGAGACATAATTGACACACCATGCAATTCACTCATGCAAGTTAGGGGTGCCTGGGGGGCTCAGTCGGTTGAGCACCCGACTTCGACTCAGGTCATCGTCTCACAGTTTGTGCGTTCGAGCCCCACGTCGGGCTCTGGGCTGACGGCTCAGAGCCTGGAGCCTGCTTCGGATTCTGTGTCTCCTTCTCTCCTGCCTGTACCCCGCTCACGCTCTGTCTGTCTCTCTCTCTCAAAAATAAAACATTTAAAAAGATTTTAAAAACAAAGCATATAACTATAATTCACTGGTTTTTAGTAGATCCACGGATGATGCAAACGTTACCACCACCCAGTTTAGAACCTTTGCCTCAACCTCCCATGAGGAACCTCGTATGCATCATGCTGCTTAATTCTTCTTTTTTATTTCAGTCCTTATTATTTTTAATTCATGGAATTCTAGCACATCAGATCTTCAGGCAAAAACAGGAGATAAAAGCCTGTCATGCTGCTTAATTCTTAACCACATTATCCTGAGTTGTTTGCCGTGGCCGCTTATACAAGATTCCCGCTTTCCTCACAACGCATGCACTCGTGGAGAGTGTGTGGGGGGGTGTCCTGGTGATATCCCTGAATGTCCTCCAGCCTTCTGTCCCCTGAGACCACTCGTAGGGTGATGAGGACTGAGGTCAGGGGTGCTCTGGCCTGGAGCAACTTGCAGGTCACCGCAGTATGTACAGGGTCTAGGGCAGGCCCTAACACACACAGGGAAGTAGAGCCCAAAGGGGGAGGGGTGAATAAGGGAGAGGCAGGGCTCTGTGAACCTTTGAAAGCACAGCTGCAAATTTCTCTGACATCACTCGCACTGGAAGAAACTTAGGTCAACCTTAAGGACTCATCGATCGGTAGCAGATTGTGGAAGAGGTGACCTCACAGGCAAAGTCATAGAAGGTTACGGAGTTTCTGCGGAGTTCATGGGGACACCTATGCTGGAGCTTAGGACCACCTTGTTTGTTTGTTTGTTTTCCTTTTAGTGTTTATTTAGTTTTGAGAGAGAGACAGACAGACAGAACACGAGTGGGGGAGGGGCAGAGAGACAAGAAGGTACAGAATCCGAAGCAGGCTAGAGGCTGTCAGCACACAGCCTGATGCGGGGCTCGAACCCACAAACTGTGAGGTCATGAGCGGAAGCCTGACACTCAACCGACTGAGCCACCCGGGAGCGCCTCCCTTCCCCGTTCTTCCCTGTCTCAAAACAATGACATTCAGGTCTGTCTCTGGAGCCCCTTGTCTCCCCTTCTGCGCCTTTCTCTCTCTGACATTCAGGAACTCCACGTCCTTGGGAGCAGTGACCGGTGCCTCCTGTGTATTTACACTTAAATATTGTAATATTTATATATTACGTGATATATAAGAGTTTGCATTTGCTGACCATTGACTCTGTAGGCACAGTACCAAATGCTCTGCGATAACCTCACTGAGTCCTGCCAGGGGCCCTGTGAGCCCTGTGCTCTCTCTCCTGCTACTGGCAAGCCTGGCATGGTTTGGCTCCTATCTACCTGTCTCCTTGTCCACACGTTCCTCCCGCCCGGCTGCTGCTCTGCTCTCCGCCTGGCATATCCCTCTTCCAGCCTCCCCTTGTCACCGGGGCCCCTCCCACATATCCTGGGGGGGGGGTCTCAGTGTCTATGTCATGTCCCCTGGGAGACCTCCACACCAAGTCAGGTTCTCGCGTGACTATGAAGAAAGGCGACAGAAGAGGCTGCCCCCAAACCTGCCACTTTGAGGATAAATTTGAGCAAAAGATACTTAAAAACAAAACAAATCCCGGCAGGTGCAAGAAGGGTGTTCCGACCTCCTCTTTCCCCCCCTCCCTGAAAGCGGGAGATGGAATTCCCACGTGAAAAAAATGCCCTTCCTGTGCGAGGCGGAAAGAAATATTCCTATCCCCAGAGACAGGAAGTCAAGGCCAAGAGAATTCTTTACAAACAGACTTTGTGAAGGTGGCTCTGACCATCCTGCAGAGCCCCGGATTTTAGTCACATTTCCACAGTTGATGCTCTTTGTTCAAGCTAGCATCAGAGCATCTGGGTTTTGGCCCCTTCTTTGGGCCTTTGCTTTCCTATGGGGGCTCCCATGTGCCCGTAAACATTGTGGGGGTTTCTTGGCTCTTAACCTGTCTTGTGTCAATTTCCTTCTCAGGCTCAGCCAGAGCCCCTAAGAGGGTAGAGACAAAGTTTTGCCTCCCCTGCAATGACGAATACCCTCCTGCTCTCTCTCTTCAGCACGGTCATGATTATCTATTTTGTGCAAACACCTGGTAACACTCTTTTCTTATACTAGATGTAAGGTCTATAAGGGCTATTTGTTTTCTTCTTAAAAATTTTAGTGTTTATTTATTTTTGAAGGAGAGAGAGAGAGAGACAGAGCGCAAACAGGGGAGGGACAGAGAGAGAGACACAGAATTCGAAGCAGGCTGCAGGCTCTGAGCTGTTAGCATACAGCTCGATGCGGGGCTCGAACCCATGAACTGTGAGATCATGACTTGAGCCAAAGTCGGACACTTAAGCGACTGAGCCACCCAGGTGGCCCCTCTCTTTTTAACAATTTTTTATTAAGTTTATTTATTTGTTTTTGAGAGAGAGAAAGAGAGACAGAGAGAGCAAGCGGGGAAGGGGCAGAGAGAGAGGGAGAGAGAGATTCCCAAGCAGGCTCCACACTGTCAGCACAGAGCCCAATCCAGACTCAAACTCACAAGCTGTGAGATCATGACTTGAGTGGAAACCAAGAGTCAGACACTTAACCAATGGAGCCACCTAGGCGCCCCTGTTCTCTCTTTTATACCCAGCACTTAGCACATTGCTTGGCACATGGCTGGCACTTGGGAAACCAAGGCTCAAGGGTCACACTTGTTAGCGGTGGACCCAGGGTGATGACCCAAGTTATGAGGTTCCTATCCTGAGACTCATCCTGGCATTGTGGGGGTCTGCCTGGCACCCATGCAATCACGTGGCCGGGAGGACCCTTGAAAGCCCAAACAAGAAATACTCACATCACGGCCGGCCGGGAGCAGCTGTTCCTGGTGAATTTATAGGAATGCACCCACTTCCAAGGAAGGACCTTGTAACTATATTGGAAGCAGCAGAACTTGGCCACATCACTGCCACCTAAAAGACAGAGAGAGGAAGGAGCTTGGAGGTGGCCCTGTGCTTTTCCTCCCAGCCTGCACGAGAAGGGAGTGGGACAGCAGCATACGTATGGCGACTCCGAGCTGGACACTCAGGATGAAGATCAGGAGAACAAGAAAGCCAACAGAAAGGCTCTTCATGGTGCTATGAGCTGGCCCTTCACAGCGTCCTCTGAGGTTCCCCTGACTCCACCGGACCCCTTTTTTACAGGGCTGAGTCGTCCCTGAAGAGAATTCCAGAGAATTTTATGGTTGAAGCAAAAACAGCTCTTTTGGCCCTATCATGTAGGCACAACTTGTCACCAGAGAAAGGAGACTGGGACGAGAGGGAAGGTCCTCCGAGGGAAGGGGAGGAGCCAGCACCCCATTGGGAGTTTCTGCCCCCCCCCACACACCCTGCGCTCCTGTCCCAGTCCATGCTTTGCCGTTTGAGAAACAAAAGCAGAGGAAATGAAATAATAATTCTCGAGAACCGACTTAAATTACCTTAGAACACAATTGATGTTCTGGGTTGACTTCTGGCTCTTGACCAAAGCTCCCTTCACTTCCTAAACACTGCTTATCTCTTGGTGAAATACAATGTCAGGACAGGAGCACAGAGCAGCCCAGTCATGATCATGAATGTTGAAAAATAATGCTCTGGCCTGTGTCTGTCCTGTCTTCTCAGTGCCACACATCAGCTGACACACAGTGCCAGAGCCGCTTGGGGACACTTAGAGCTCTCCCTTCAGGGGTAGAGGACGTCACAGTTGCCTGGAGCCTGAACACACACACACACACACACACACACACACACACACAACTATATTCCCTGTTCCTGCTTTGTACCTCCTGGGCCAGGCTTTTTGGGAGGGGTACCCAGGAATCTATATTTTAGCCAGATGTGGCTAAAATGGGGAAAGTGAATTCTAGAATGGGGCAGTGAATTTCCCCCAGAAGAGTCCTGGGGAGGGGGCGGGAGGGAGGTAGAGAGGGACTTGCAGGTCTGTGTTTCATGACACTGAATTCAGTCATATCCATCCCCGTCCTCAAGATGATGCCCCCCAGGGCTTTAAATTTTTGAGTTTAAGGTAAAAGAAAAAATCCGCTAGTCATCTAGGACCATAGAATTTTTCAGAGCTATCTGAGACCCTTTGAAACAGCGCATCCCCAACCATCCACCCAAGTCATCCAGACTGTTCTGACTACAGTTCTGAACTCACTGGGTGACCTTGTCACAAAGTAAGACAGCTCAGACTTTGGCAAAGTCATTTTAGGTTCTTTTTTTAAAATTTGGCTGAAATCTGGGGTGTCTGGATGGCTCAGTTGGTTAAGCGTCCGACTTCAGCTCAGGTCACGATCTCACCGCTCGTGAGTTCGAGCCCCGCGTCAGGCTCTGTGCTAACAGCTCCGAGTCTGGAGACTGCTTTGCATTCTGTGTCCCTCTATCTCTGTCTCTGCCTCTCTCCTACTTGCACTATTTCTCTCTCTCTCCCAAAAATAAACATTTAAAAAATCTTTAAAATAAATAAATGTAAAAAACTTTTTTTTTAATTTGGCTGAAATCTATATTTCCATTGCTTCTAGCAATTCACCAGTTCTGTTTAAAAGTGACTAATTTCTCTTCTTTTGGAAGATGAGGAAATTGAGGTTTGGGCTGATTTGAAGACCATTGTTTTAGTGGTTTGTGGGTTCCCCACAAACAGGAGAGGAGACAGGGACCCCAGTGCAAGCAATTCGTGAAGGAGGTAATCCCCGAAGACGCCAGTCGAGGAGAGGGGACGGGAGGTGGGGGAAGGGAGGGCACCCACATAGAGGCAGGTGATCACACAAGCAGCACAGTGTGGGGGTGGCTCTGAGGGGCTGGGGGCACCCGTGCAGAACAAGCCTGACTTGGCCCAGCGGTGGGGTGAGGAAGTGCATATATTAACTCTTCACCTCTCTGCTCGTCAGTGGTTGAAGGCTGCACCCCACATCCCTGTCTTGGCCTGGGGGCCGGCCTAGCGTGTGCTGGGAGCAGGGGGAAGGCTCCGAGGCAGGGCAGGTGTCCTCAGTAAGCAGCCTTTGTCTCACAGACTAGAACGATAAGGGGATACGCGTGGGGCCCTCATAGCACCTGCTACAACCATTATCATGATTGTCCCGGAACATTCTTTTTCTGGCTGAGCCCTCCACCCCCACCCCTTGCCTTCCTACTGGCCACCTTCACACACCAGTTCCTGCTTTAGCAGCTACAGGGTGCTGGGCACCCAGAGCTTTCATAAATGGGACACCACGAACACTAATCACAAGGGGCTGATAAATCATTGATCATTTGGAACTTTTATTCATCAGAAGGCACCAAGAAGAGAATGGAAAGGCAATCTGCAGCGGGGTGGGGTGTGGAGATTTTTATAACATGTCTACACTGGGTTGAAGAGTGTGCCCCTCCCCCCCAGATTCATGTCAACCTAGAACTTTGGAATGTGATCGTGTTTGGAAGAAAGGCTCTTTGCTGCTGTAAGTTAGTTAAGAGGAGGTCATATTGGATAGGGATGAGCTCTTGTGATAGTGTGGTTTATAATAAGAAACATATGTTTGGCCTACAGCCCCAGGCACACAGCTCGTAAAATCTGTACAAGTTTCTAAGCTGGAAGAGTAATGGGAGCATCTTTTGTTTTTTTTAATATTTGGCCTTTTGTCCTCAGGTCTTAAAATAGCTCCAGAGCAATAAAGATGAATGTCTTATGACACATAACCAGCCCCTTTCACACACTCAATGCAGCGATTTTTGAAAAGCCTCTGGATAAACCACAGGGGAGGTTGCTGGTTAACGGGGGGAAGCAGCCAAGAAATTATAGGAGTTGGAATTTTCAGCCCTGCCCCCCAATCTCTGGGGAGGGGAAAGGGGCTGGAGGGGGAATTAATCTCCGATGGCCAATGACTGAATTAATTATGCCTACAGTGGCACCTGGGTGGCTCAGTTGGCTAAGCGTCTGACTTTGGCTCAGGTCATGATCTTGCCGTTTGTGAGTTCAAGCCCCGCAATGGGCTCTGTGCTGACAGCTCGGAGCCTGGAGCCTACTTCGGATTCTGTGCCCCCCTCTCTCTCTGCCCCTCCCCTGTCTCCTCTGCCTCTCTGCCTCTCTGTCTCTCTGTCTCTCTCAAAACTAAATAAACATTACAAAGGAATTAATTATGCCTACATAATGAAGCCTCCAGGCAGGGCTCAGAGGGCGACTGGGTTGGCAATGGGTAGAGGTGCTGGGAGGGTTGCACCCCTACCCCCAGATGGCTTGGAAGCTCAGCACCCCCCCACCCCCCCCATACCTTGCCCTCTGCATCTCTCCCATCAGGCTGTTCTTGCCTTGGACCCTTTAGAACAAATTGGTAATCTAGTGACTAAATCCAGTTTTCCAGAGTTCTGTGAGCCGCTCTAGCACGTTATCAACCCTGAGGTGGGCGTCACTGGAACTTCCAATCTACAGGGCCGGCCAGGTCAGAGCACAGGTAAAGGTCAGAGCACAGGTAACAACCTGGACTTGCAACTGGCATCTGAAGTGGGGGAGGGGCAGTCTTCCAGGGCCCAGCCCTCAGCCCGTGGGATTGAGTTCAATGGTAGGATACCCAGCTGGTGTCTGGGAATTGCTTGGAGTGAGGAAAACCCACATCTGGCATCCAAAGCCAAGTACGGAGAGTAGAGTGTTGTACTGAGTAGACATAAAACAGAAGAACGGTTTCCCTTTCAGCTCTAAATCCAGTGCCCGGTGTCCTTACAGATGGCCACATGCGGGGCACCTGGGTGGCTGAGTCGGTTAAGCATCTAACTTCGGCTCAGGTCATGATCTCATGGTTCATGAGTTCAAACCCTGCGTGGAGCTCTGTGCTGACAGCTGGGAGCCAGCCTGGAGCCTGCTTCGGATTCTGTGTCTCCCTCTGTCTCTCTGCTCCTCCCCCACTCACGCTCAATCTCTCTCTCTCATAAAAAAATTTTTTTTTTTAAAAAAAGGCGGCATGAAGAGACACAGAGACACACAGGGAGAAGGCCACGTGAGGACAGAGGCAGAGGCAGGAGTGATGCAGACATGGCCAGGAGCGCCGAGGAGAGCCCGGAGCCACCGCAGCCTGGGAGGAGGCGAGGAAGATCCTTCCCCAGAGCTTTCAGAGGCACATTGATCTCTGACATCCAGCTTCCTGAACCATGACGAACAAACATCCATTGGTTGAAGCCACCCAGTTTGGGGCAATTTGTTACAGATGCCCTAAGAATCAAATATAACATGTATCTGTAAAAGGGCTAGAATTCAGATAATAATAAAAAAAAACTACATTAAAAAAAAAAAGACAGGGGCACATGAGTGACTCCGTTGGTTAACCTATCTCATGGTTTATGAGTTCGAGCACCGTGTCAGGCTCTGTGCTGACAGCTCGGAGCCTGGAGCCTGCTTCACATTCAGTGTCTCCCTCTCTCTACCCCTCCCCTGCTCACTCTCTGTCTCTTTCCCTCTCAAAAATAAATAATGTTTTAAAAAATGAAAAAGGAAAAGTGATTATATGGCCCCTGGAAACACACCATGGTGGGAGTGGAGAACATTGGACTGTATTGACGAACGTCGAATGTACATGTACTCTGTGATCTGGCAATTCCACTCCTAGAGATATACTGACCAGAAGTGCACATGTTGGAGTATCTCAGTGGCTCAGTGGGTTGAGTGCCTGACTCTTGGTCTCAGCGCAGGTCTTGATCTCAGGGTCATGAATGTGAGCCCTGTGTTGGGCTCTATGCCCAGTGTAGAACCTACTTAAAAAAGGAAAGGAAAGGGGCGCCTGGGTGGCTTAGTCGGTTAAGCGTCCGACTTTCGCTTAGGTCATGATCCCGCGGTTCGTGGGTTCGAGCCCCGCATCGGGCTCTGTGCTGACTGCCAGCTCGGAGCCTGGAGCCTGTTTCAGCCTGTGACTCCCTCTCTCTCTGACCCTACCCTGCTCACGCTGTCTCTCTCTCTCTCCTAGAAATAAATAAAACATAAAAAAAAATTTAAAAAAAAAGGAAAGGAAAGACAAGAAACATGTACATATGTTTGCAGTAAGACATTGTTCATAATTACCCCAAACTGGAAATTACCCAAATATCTGTCAACAGTAGAATGGAAGATAAATTGCAGTTTATTAACTTCATCTAATACCATAAAACAATGAGAATGGACTATGATCACATGCACCATGCTAGGGAAAAGAAGCCAGATATGAAAGACAAATATGGTAGGATTCCATGTGCATAAAGTACCAAACAAGCAGATCTAACCTATAAGGATGGTGGTCAAAATGGT